AAGGTAAGATAAATGATAGATGAAATTCACCGACTGTATGATTCTCTTAGCTCTGTTCATCTTCGGGGTGATTTTAGTTTACATTACTAAATAATTAGTATTTTAGGTTTTATAATTACTTGATAAAAACATCATTAGCTGCATTAATGATTCTACTTGTGATCGCATCAGATTCGTGGCGAGTCTCAAATGAGCGACGATATAGAGGTTAAGCTTCAATATGAAGATGGTGGAACCTGCGACTCTCACCTTCACCTTTATCACAAATACGATGGTGAACATTACATGACTGGCGCCAGTCTCGCTCTTACCCTTCTTACGACCCATGGAAGATTGAACTTATCACTACCAAAGCACAAGAAGTAGCGGGAGACTTTGTCAGTCTTGAACTCAATCTGAATTCCCCATCAACACTGCGCCCTTCCAGATTCAAGGATTGTATAAGTTCACTGACGATGAAATTGACCTTGAACTTCAGGCAGGAACCGAGAGTGACAAGACTTCACTTTCATTCTCTGGGAAGAACGAGCTGGACTGGGGAGCACGAAGATTAACTGGATCATTAGAGTTTAACTCTCCATGGGTTCAGCCAGTAACAGTGAATGTTACAAACATTCATGATGAGGAATACTTCAATGTTACTTTCGATCTCAGGTCGTCACTAAAATACATCAACACTATTGCAGCAGAATTCAGTGCCAACTATGCTGTTCCCGAGGAAACAAAGGCTCATTTCTACCTCTCTCACAAAGATGTTCAGGCAACAATGGAGATGAACCACAAATTCAGTGAAGCTGGCCTAAAACAGCATCTTCACGCATCAGTTAACACAATGAGTGTTAGCTATGAGTCTGAAGCAGCCTGGGAGAAGACCTGGTCCCTCAAAGTGCAAATGGACGCATTACACTCACAGACATTTTTGGCCAGAACATGGATTTGTCTCTCAGGCATTCTAAGGAAGCTGAGCGCTTCGTATCTCAGCTCTTTGGTACCTGGAATGTTCACACATTCCACTTCGACCACACTCTAGATTACCATCGTAGCCTAGAGTGGACAAGCAACAGCCAGTTAACTATACCTAACTATGAAGATCCCATAACTCTGCAGCTTGTTTTGAATGCTCAAGAAGACCTTTCAACTTTAGATTCGAACCTGCACCTAACAACTCCTTGGACAGAAGATTTCATCGCAAAACTATACTTTGATTTTTCAGATCCTAGTGTCCCTAGTTACAGATTTGATTCACTGTATGGTGATGCAACTGTATTCAATATTGAAGCAGAGCAATATGCACCATTTGCCTGGGAACATGTTGATGTAAAGTTAAAAATGAAATCACAGTACTTTGAAGATGTTGAAATCAGGTGGAAGCACAACTTTGAATCAAACACTCACATCTACCTAAACACTACTTATGGCTCCCAATACCATATTCAAGGAGAAAGCAATCTGCCAATTTGAAGAAAGTTACTTTGGCACTGGAGCTTTCGTGATGTATAATTTCACAGCCAAGGCAGACCTCCTTGATCAAGAAGTACATTTCCAAACCGGTTTGAGCTTCGATTCCCAGTACCGTGGAGACCTTGAAGTGACCTGGGGCGAATACATCTTGTTTTTCAAGACTGATGTACCAGATGGTATAGTGTTCAAGGTGCTTGTAGGTGATCCTGAGGGTGATTATGTCGCTGAATTAACACATCTCAAAGGTAGTTCTGATATTCCAAACCTTCGATTCCGTCTCTCGAGGAATAATTCAGACATTTTCCTTTTGAAATCTGAGATCGAGAATTATTATCCACACTTTGAAGGTATGTTTGTTGCAAGTTATTATCCGGACAATGACTCACCACAGCATACAGAGATGAAAGTATTAGCTGACATGAGTGACCTGGAGGACTATGGATTTAAAGGAAATTTCAAAATTAATTCCGATTTTGAAGGTTTTGAGAACCTGATGGGAGAGTTGGACTTTGACCTAACCATTGAAGATAGTTACCTAGCTGGGCACCTTACTAATCAATTTGACTTTAATGAGTGGCACTTCAATTCCAAAGTTAACTGCTCCCTCAATTTAGACAGACAGTTCCAATTTGAGTATCAAAGCGAGTACGATCTCAGTGTTGAAGGTGAACTTTATGACATGAAGGAATTGAGCTTTTTGCTCAGTATAAATTCTGAAGTAGTGCAGACAAAATTCAACTTGAAATATAGTCCTAAAGCATCTGAATGGTCATTTTTCTGCTATTATCATCAAGATGACATGGACTTCAAAGGATATATCATACCTGGCAATGCAAGAAAGTATGAGCTAGCAGCCAAGGTTGCTAACAGTACCCTCAATCTGGATGCACAAAGAACCGACGAATTTGGTTCAAGATTCATAGGCCTCAAAGGCAATATTAACTGGAGTGTCAAGAAATTTAAGAACAGTTCACAGTGAACATGAACTCAGACATCCCTGAGATAAAGAAAATTACTCTTCACGTTTTCATCCAGCAAAGACGAGGATTCATGGCAACTGCAAAACTAAAAGTAAACCAAGAAAACTTTGTTGGCAGTGTGAGATATATGAGCAGAAAAGGAGGTGAAACTGGGCGAATCACAATAAAAATGGAGAACGAAATCTTCTATCCTTTCGATACAGAAACCACAATCCAGTATTCCATTGCACCAGATGATTATCGAGCTAATATTGTTACTAACCTGAATGAGAAGAAGTGGGCTTCCTTAGATATGAAAGCTAGTCTGAAGGAGTCCTACTTAAAGATTGAGTCTCCTTTCCCAGTTATTGAGAATGTTGATATTAAAGTGAATCTTCTAACTGAAGAGGACTTTGGCCTGACAGTGACAGCAACTGGAACCAAATTTTGCTTTAACCTTGAAAGTTCTTTGAGTCGTACTTTTACATCTGGAGAATTGAAAGCGAATTACCAAGCAGAATGCAGTGAACCTTCGCTATTTGACCTCAGTGCTAAATACGAATATCCTTCCGAAACATTTGAAGTTCATTTGCATATACAAGATATTGTCAGTTTCGATGTTTCTAGCATTCGAGATCAACATGAGAGAGTTTTCAAAGCTGAAGTCACGATTAGTGCTGGACCCTCCTATGGTGTATTAATAAGTAGTGGATTCGATTTTAACTACTTCCAAGTGAAGTTATGCTTATACAGTCCCTCCTCTGACTCAAATTACTTCCTGTTCACTTTCTTTGTCTCCAAAACAAGATTCGAAATTGGTGTAGAAACAACAAGGAAGATCTTCCATACTGAGTTTACATACAATCTCCAACTACAACAGTTTATGTTAGAAGGAAAATATTTCAGTGATTTCTTTGAACCATTTTCTTCAGAGCTGCATATAAAAGGTCATATTGACTCTGACATGGGTGAGGCAGAAGTTTCTCTATTGTCAGATGACAATACAGTGAATTCAGAATTTATCATGAACTATGATCTTCTTAAGGAACCCAAAACTGGGAACTTCAAGCTAACTTCTCCAAAAGGTGATGCTGAGGGCCATGCAGATTTCACAATTACTGATGGATATATATCAGTTACAGGTGAAATGCTATCCACTCTCCATTCATTCCACGAATATACATTCAAATTTGAGGGAAATCTAAATGATGACATCCACAATTTCAGCTTTTAATTACTCAAGATAACAACACTTATGAGGTCACTGGCGACCAGCTAATGGTAAATGAAATGATGAAAAGCAAGCTTTTTGTCTCAACACCATTCCACGGATATGAACACTTTGAATTTAGTTATGGCACACCTGTTTCCGACTCAGAGCAAAGAACATACCATGCAGGACTCAACATGACTATATCAGGTGACTCATATGGAGTTGACATTGCCCACAACCATCACACTACTTGGAGTGACCAAGATACAGAGATTTCTATTTTCACACCAAGGAAGATCATTGATGCATTCAAGTTTGCTTTCATGTACAATATTGAAGGTGAAGCATCAGTATCATTTGACCATGCTCGCGGCCGTCTTGGCTTGGCTGGCTCTTTCCGTCCTTCCGACACGAACATCTCGTTGGAAATCCTTCCAGATTTGACCTTCTTTGATGCTGGAGAGTATATTTTCATGGCTAACATTCCTCTAGTAATGGATGAAGGCGGGGAAATCCGCTTAGAACGTCGCCAAACAGATTTTGACTTTGTGGCAAATATGTCTCTTGCAAAAAGATTTAAATCTGGCCAAATCGTCGTAAAAATAATAGAAGGAAATGCTGAGGAGTCAAATGCATCATATAGTCTAAGTTTTGTGCTTAAGAATCCACGAAATATTCAGGTGGATGGATTTTTTGAAAACTGGGAAATGAGATCTGCAATCAAGCTAAGAGGGAAGAAAACTGCTGCTTCTACTGGTAACATCACTGTGACCACCAATATACCCGGATATGAAGACATGGAAGCTGGCTGGGACATAGGAAAGAAGAAAATGAGTTATTTTATGAACTTGAGGTTAGACATGAAAGAAAATGGGAACATGGATTTCAAAGGCAAAGTAGATAACCAGAGCCTCGACATACAGTTCACTTCAACATTCACTAAAGATCACCATGTTATTGCCGAGTACCAGATGAATCCATTAATCCTCAAAGCGACTTATCAGTATGGTTTGGACAAATTTGAAATTGATTTTGATTCACAGTTTGATCCAAGAGAAGGTATGATGAAATTAATTGCCAGTTTGCCTTTCCTTATGTATCAAAGCTCCAAATTGGTATGAAGTACAGTTTCTTTGATAATTACGATCTTAACATCAATGCTGCAATTGAACACATTCTTTTTGAATGTGGCTTCAATTTAGCATCTGATGGAAGCAATGGAGACTTTATATTAAATCTGATTACTCCCTTTAGTAATCCAACCAAAGTCAAGATCAGTTGGTCAGTAGATGGAACCCCGCTCAAATTCGAAGCATTTTATATCTATGGACATGAAAGAGGTGGACTGAAACTTGACCTCGAATATACAAATACCACTGTTGATATGAACATTAATGTCATGACACCTTTTGATGGAGCTTCTGAAATAACATTCAATTTTAAATATGATGGAATTGGCCCTGGACCTACTGAGGCCTCCATTGACTTGAGTGTGGACTATCATAATATCAAAATATCAACAAGCTTTGAAGAGGGAAACAACAGCATGGAAATAATCAGCAGTGCATCACTGGATTTCTTTGGCTTTCAAGGACAATTTGAATTAACATTCAATCGTAATGGTCTTGAAAACAATCTGCATCTACAAGGAGATCTGAAGGAGTATGATCTTGTTGATTTCAGTTTTAACTTAAATGAAGGCAGTATCCAATCAGATTTGAAATATGGAAATGTAAATATATTTGTGGCAAAGTTTGAGTTCTACAGTATCAGTATTCAATCTGCATGGTCAGAATCTCATTACTTTAACTTTGATGGAAAGTATGAGTCCACTGATGATGGCCATCAGCTTGAACTCTCCATAGAATCGTCTGAGATGCAACCTATTGCAGTACAGGCAAGCTATTCTGGCGCAAAGGGTCATGAAGGTAATGTGAGCATAAGCCATGGAGATAAACAGTACGATCTAAGTGGAAATACTGTTATTCAGAAGAAAAAGTCTGGGTTCGAACTGCATTTCACTTCTTCAGAAGATCCTTATCATCCATTTAACATGGAGGCTCAGTACAATATTAATGCCTTTGCCAAAGGTAACATGGGTGCCATGGAAGATTTAGCTGGTATTATGTTGGAGTGGGGAGACAAAATAGATGTCTCTGTTACAGGGATGCGCAAGGGCGATCGAGCTAAGGTGGTTGTTGAGATTATTACACCTTTTAAGGCCTTGCCCCGACTGAGCTTTGGCTTTGATGCTGAATTTTCGCTTAAAAGGAATCTCACACAACTGACGCTAACAACATTTGCTGAATGGACTCAAAAGATAACTTTGTCAGGCTTCTTTAAGTCTAAGAAGAATGAACTGGTCTTTAACTGCAGTTTAATACACCATTTACAGAAGTTCAGAAATTGTCAGCAAACTTCACATGGAAGCCAAATCAAGTAGAGGCTTCCTTTATTCATAATGAAGATGAATGGAAAATTACAGGCAACTATGAGTTTACACAAACTTATTCTGTTCAAGTTACAGCCCAGACTCCTCTAAAGGATTTTGACTTAATAACTTTCAATGTAACAACTGGAGTTCAAGACAATAAGTTTGTGCTCACAGCAGAAATGACTTGGCCTGAAGAAAACAACATTCACTTTGAACTGGAGGCTCAGGTGTGGAAGATGGAAATGAAGTTCAACAGCCCCTGGATGCCGTTCCAAGAAGTCATCTTTGAGATGTCTCTACAGACAGAGAGTGAAGACGGAAAGTTTAGTGCAAAACTTGAATGGGACAATCATAACTTCGTCATGACTGCCATCCTCTCTCCTATGCGATCACAGTTTAATGCTAAGTTCCAGAGAGAAAACAGCGACATCTTCGGTGCCACATTTGAATACAACTTTGGGGAAGGTGAGTTCAGATTTGATGGTGAAGTTACCACTCCTGTCGCACCATTCGAGAAGCTGGAAGCTAAATTACACTGGAGCTCAGTCAGTGGCAAATTTGTCATATATGTTGCAGATTTCGAATGGACTTTGGAAGCTCAGAATGACTGGAGAAACCTTAATAGCTACATGTCGATTCCACACTCCAGCAATGAACAACCTCTCAACATCATTTTCAAATATGAAGTCCAACCAGATGAATATAAGTTCTCTTCGGTCTTTGAAGTGTCATTAAAGGAATCAAGCGAAAGTGGGTGTTGATTGACATAAAGTTTGAGGATCCATGGACAATTAAATCCTCCATTTTTAACACAAATGTAGAGGTAGAAGTAACAAAACCTAACCGAAGGAAGTTTAATGTACATCTGCACATTGAATCCCAAGAAATGGGTTTGGAATCGGTGCTTATTGATGCAGCCATCAATCACAAACAAAACTTCAAGATATTCAGCATCACTTCAACTATGTCAGTAAAGCCAGTCCATGGAGAAGCAACTAAGCATGAACTTATTATGGACTATGAAATAATTTCTAACCACTTCTCCATGAAGGCTGAGATTCATAGTGATTATATTGATGTTCCTTATGGATTCATCTGTAAGATTCCACTGATACTTGCATTCGGACCTGGAACATTCAACTTCGCTGTGACTAGAGAAGGAGAACAAGTGTATAAAGTATCTTTTGATACACTTTACCCAGATGATGAAACCGAGACTAGAATCCTCAAAATCAAATCTCCTGAATGGTCAGTCACATTGACAGTGTCTTACAGTATCGACAGCTTCAGCTTCGCATTGTCCTACCCCGACTCAGCTACTGAGCATACTCTTCAAATCAACTGGAATGAGGACATTAGCTTTGAGAAGGTCGTATTCAGTCTGGAAATGAATTCCCCATACTTGAAAGAAAATACATTTTTACTTGAAGTCAATTTCAATGTACGTGCTTTGTTTTCTTTTGTTATCAATGGAAAAGCCACATTGGGATTAAAACAATTGGATTTCACAGGCCAGTTTCAGTATAACAGACAACAGCAGCAGGTGCAATTTGATGCACATGTATCCTCTGACTGGACAGGTAAACATTCCCTAAACTACAACATTCAGTGGCAGAGGGAAATTATATTTACTGCAGATCTAAAGGTTGACGGTGAGGATCACAAGGCAAAACTCACTATAGACTCCACTACCTATACCATGCGGATGACAGTGAATTCATCTTGGTTGCCACACAAAGATATTGTGATAATCGGAAAAGTTAATGAGGACTTCACACCATCTAATATACAAGTTGAAGGTAAAGTAACAAGTGCTGGGGATACCCTTTTGGAAGGAAATTTCGAAAATCATGGATTCCAGATGATCAAATCAGAAGTCAGAGTGAAAAACAAGTGGGAAGTGTTCCAATCTAGATTTGAATTTGAGAACTCGGACAATAAAGTATACCTTAACTGGTACATGAGCAGCATTCTTCCAGAGCTCAATGCTAACTTCAAAATTCAATATGATGAAAGCGATGTAATGCGAGGATTAAGAGTAAATGGTAAGAATTATTTAACCGGCACTTTTTCGCTACGCATTGATAATAGTAAAACATGGTATAAACGGCAAGAGGTTTCAGTCAGGATGGCTAGCCACAGTCTTTCACTTGTGTCAATACATGGAGGAAATGGTAATAGAGTTACGGTAACCTATGACAAATATAACATGTTCATTCATTATAACTTCTCAAATGAGATCAAGTTGTCAGTTTCCTTTTCAACTCCTCTGCCATCTTTCAAAAATGCTAAATTATATTTCTCCTGGCCACAGGAAAGGTCGGAAAAAGAATTGGACATTTCATATGCAACAGAAGACGATGAATATGAATTCCATATGTCTATTATGCCAGACCCTATCATTGGATGGGCTTGTAAAATCAGTGTCATAACGCCTTATAAAGGATACGAAAAGTTTGTGATCCAGACTCCACAATTTGGAGAGAACATGCCCGACTTTGCTGTTATGTTTGAATACCCAGGAGGAAAAGTGGGAGCAGAGATTAAGTATTACATGAGACGATGGAGTTGGTGTGATCTTAGATTGTCACTAAATCTGCCTCTAGAAAAATATGAAATCGTTTCCCTGAAATACATAATGGGAATGAGAGATAATATTGCAACAGTAGAAGGACGTATTGGCAAAGTTGGATTTACATACTCTTTAAAAACATTTGCTTCTCCTTCATATGATGGATTAGTGTCTGTAGTCCGTGTAAATGAAATTACCTTGCAAACTATTATTCGATTAAACTCAAAGAAAGACGCACTGGATCTCCGCACCCATACTGAAATGCAAACTGAAAATGAAGCTGACTTGAAGTGGCTAGACACAAGGCTTTTGATTAACCTAGATCGTAAGATCTATTTCCAAGTGGAAAGTCACGAAGAAGAACTCCTTAAACTCCATATAGAGTGGGGTAGTGACAGAATATTTGCAATAACTACAAGTAAAAACTTCCCAGCTTTCTTAGTCCTGAATTTCGAAAACTCAGAGATGGTTAATGAATGTCGTGTAAAGGTGGGTGTATCTTCAGGTATGGACATTGATAGCTATGGCTTCCACTTCCGCCAAGAAGCTTTGGAGGGAGGCCATCATATTTCCCTCTCTGGTGATTCTGCTGAAAACAACTTCTATGCAGAAGGTACTTTCTCTGTGAATTACCATCATCTGAATGAAAGTCTTGTGTTTGAACTCAACAAAAATAGAATTGGTTACAGATCCAACTTCCAGATCTATCCTGGAATCCTTACAGACGAATATAGAGGAGCAGTGGAATTGATGTTACCAGCCCAGACTGTACACTGGAACACATCGGCCTTGTGTGGGTCGGGAGACTTCGATCTTCAGTCAAGATTTACTTGGAACGATCTTGATCAGGAAGTTCCAGCAGTTAATTTGATTGTCAAATATGATGATAAATCGCATTTTGGTCAAGAGGAACACCACATCATGGCTGTGTTTAGTCATCCAGAAATAAAAAAATTGTCCTTCAGGGGAACATCACCCAGTCTGAGGATACTACTCTTTCTGCTTTGGTAGAACTTATTGATGAAAATGTACCAGAGAGAAATGTAATATTGGCAGTTGATATCCATCCCTACACAGAAAACAGAACCCGTGATATAAATGCCACAATTACCCAGAGTTTCTCAGGGTTTGCAGTAAATATGGATGCACAGATAACAGATTCCAATTTCCATGATGGCATTTATGAATTTAAGTACTGGAGCCTCACCAAGGAGACTTGGGAAAACCTTCATGTTTCTACACGTGTTGAACCTTCCATGGATGGATTTGACTTTGAAGCTCGAGTAAAGGCACCAAAGGGCAACTGGGGCTACACCTACAGGGGAAATGCCTTTTCCAATGATCACGAAGCTGCTGTAACC